GCTGGTGGTTCAAACTGCCAACCTTTCTGTGAGCAGCCAAGTACTTATCCAGCCCTCTTGAGATGTGGAAAAGGTCAAGGGAAAAAAATGAGATGGCAAAGGAGAGGATGGGGAGCTGGGGAAGGCATCAAAGGGTAGTAACATGTAAGTTGAGCTTTGCTGGCTGAATAGGAATTTGCCAGGCCGACGGTGGAGAAGGAAACGGTCCAAGCTCAGCTGCTTACTGCCCCAAGGTAGACTCCAAGGTAGCCTCTGCCCTGCTCTAAGAGTGTGTCCCCTCTACAGGGCTTACTCCAAGGTGGGACCCTCTAAGGATACTTAGTAAACATTAGCAAAAGGAATAGCTATAGTTGTCTACCTTCCTTTTCCCTTCTCCTGCCCAAAGAAACCTTGCTATCTGACAAGAGAATTATGCAATGGCTCTATTTGCTGCCACGTGGGGTAGTTACAGCAAGGGTCATGTCTAAACACTGTTCCCACATTCAGCAGTGCCCAACACAGCAGTACACAGAACCAAACCACTCAACTTAGAAACCCAGAGACGTGGCCCAAACACAAAGATGCAAAAAATCACTTCTGAAAGTACTAGAGCTTTTCATCATCAGAGTCAACTCTGCAAAGACTGTAAATATGTACATTCTTTGTCAGAACATTAAATCGTAGCCTAAAAGCTCACTTCTCTGGGCAGCTTCTCAGAATACCAGTCTAGGCTCCAGAGGATCTGCTGAGGAGCACCCCCACCCCTGCTGGGAGAACACCATGACCTCACAGGTCTTTTCATTTTCAGATGCCTCTGGAAGAAAGGGCTGCTCCCCAAATCTTTCAAAGACTTGTCTCATTCATTTTTATTTGCTGCTCACTTAATGGCTTGGATTGAATGGGAGGGATTCCATACACACACTGAATATACATTTGCACCCACTGCCCCCACCCCGGGCGTACACATGCATTTATATGTCTATCACATGCCACAACCAGAATTTCAAATCTCTCAGGCCAGGCCAGGCCAGGCCAGGCCAGGCTGTTCCTGAATGGTTGTTTACTATGCCATTAATATCCATCAAGGCCTGTAGTACAACACAGACCCACTACCTCTGGGTCCATTCTGACTCACAGTGGCCCTATAGAGTAGAATTGCTCCTCAGGATTTTCGAGACTACTCATCTTCCCAGCGAAAGACAGCCTCTTCTTTCTCCCACAAAGTGGCTGATGGTTTTGAACTGCTGACATCGAGGTTAGCAGCCCAGTGTTTACTCCACTGTGCCACCAGTGTCTCTCCTTCTCTGTCTAGCACAAAATGTTTAATCCAAGGATATAATCCCTGGCAGCAATAGTCAAGAACTAAACAGTACTGGTGTGGTGCTATAGGATAAGCACTGGACTGCAAGGTTGGTATGAACCACAAGGTCAGTGGTTCAAACTCACCAGCCACTCCTCAGAAACCCTATATAGTGTTGCTCTGAGCAGGAACCAACTTGCAGTCACCTAGCAACAACAAGAAACAGTATTAACTACAGCTTTTCCTTTCCTGCCACATTTTCACCAACTTTCATCTCCTCCCTCTAGTGCTGGATGATCAAATGTTAACTCACCAGCTGCTAACTGAAAGGTTAGAGGTTCGAGTCTACCAAGAGGTGCCTAGGAAGAACGACTGGTGATCTACTTCTGAAAAGGCAGTCGCTGAAAATGTTATGGAGTACAGTTCTGCACTGATACACATGGGGTCGCCATCAGTTGGAATTCCTTGTGGCCTGCCGGTCTTGGAGTTATTTTAAAAGTGAAACTGTTGTGACATTATACTTTATACAATGTCTGTTATTATGGAAGACCTGAAAGGCAGTGAAGTGCCTCCAAGGTCACTGGAAGTTCTCCACAATGCCGTGGAGACTGCTTTAGCTCAAGTCTGGCTTGCCTCAGCCTGCTTGGGAACATTACATGGTTGCATCCAATGACACACATTGTACAACATGACCTCTTCTCTTTCACAGTCCATTTCAAGAGTCTTAGTAAGAAAGAGCATCATGGTTTGCACGACAAGAATTTAGCCTTGATCTTCACATTTTTGGAGACTTTTCTAACTTCATTTTCCCCTGTTCTCAAGCATGTTGTTGTTATGTGCCATCGAGTCAGTTCCGACCCATAGCGACCCTGTACAGGGTTTCCGAGGGTGTAAATCTTTACGGGAGTAGAAAGCCTCATCTTTCTCCCGCAGAGCAGCTGGTAGTTTCGAACCGCTGACCTTAAGGTTCGCAGCCCGATTCGTAACCACTACGCTTCTTCCAGTTTTTTTTGTTTTTTTCCCACCTTGGGACATAGCACAGTAGATTCCTCTATCTTGCATGTTCTGTTGCCAGACTTTCATAAGGTTGGCACCTTTTTATCATTGAGGGCCACACCTACATGCCTCCTCCTCCACTGTCCTCCTAACGTAATCCTAATTCTCTCCTCACTCCTTGTTACTCTTAACTGCACGTCCCGATTTTATTTTCCTCATAGCACTTATCATGCATGGTCTGAAATGAAATGAGTCTGTTTATTTATTCCTGTGTTTGCTATTTGTCACTCTATGTAATATGCAAGCTTCACGAGGGCAGGAACTTTGCCTGTCTTGTTCACTACCAAAACTCTGGTACTAGACCAGCATCTGGTGGAGAGTAGGCACTTAATGTACGAGTATATCTGTAAAACGAATGAATATATTAATTGTGATGGCTAATTTTATGTATCAGCTTGGCTAGGCTATGGTCCCCAAGTTGTCTGAGCAAAGCAACTAGTGTAGTTGCTGTTATAAAGTACTTGTTGTGGTGGTGTTGTTAAGTGCCGTGGAGTTGGTTCCGACCCATAGCGACCCTGCACAGGGTTTCCGAGGCTGCAAATCTTTACAGGAGCAGAAAGCCTCATCTTTCTTCCGCAGAGCAGCTGGTAGTTTCAAACTGCTAACCTTACGGTTCGCAGCCCGATTCGTAACCACTACGCTACCAGAGCTCTTACATGTGATTAAGTCAGTTGGCTTTAACGGACAAAGCAGATGATCTTGTAATAATGCTATATAATGTAATATAGTTAATCAGCTGAAGGCAACTCTTACCTTATTCTTCTCGTTTTCTGACCTAAAGAGCTTGGAACACAAGCTTTCGGGAGTCTCTACCCAACACCTAACTCATGGATTTTGGCTTTGCTAGCCCCTATAATCAGTTAGCTAACTTTGGCTTACGAGATTGTTCCTATTGCCATGGAGTCGATTCTGACTCACTGAGACCCTGTAAGACAGAGCAGAGCTGTTCCCATAGGTTTTCAAGACTGTGTATCATCTTTATGAGAATAGACTGCCTTACATTCCATCATGGGGCGGCTGGTGGTTATCAGCCCAAATGCTTAACTCAGTGCCACCAGAGCTCCTTTACCAGATATGTTGTTGCTAAGTGTGTTGAGTCGGTTCTGACTCACAGCGACCCTGCATAGGGTTTCTGAGAATGACTGGTGGGTGTGAACTGCCAACCTTGTGGGCAGCAGTCCAGTGCTTCACACCAGGATTTGGCAAATCCAAAATCCATGGGTCAGGTGAAAGATTTAAGACTCTTATAGCCTCACAGATTTGACACACACACGGTTAACTCGACAACACTTAACTTATGTGCTGTAAGTAGGCTCTCACTCATAGCAACCCTGCGTAGGGTTTCCAAGGTTGTACATCTTTACAGAAGTAGAAAGCCCCATCTTTCTCCTGCGGAGCAAAGCTCCAAACTGTGGCTCACAGTCTACTGCTTATTAAACAGAGTCACCACACCCCCATTTATGTGTGAACATGTATATATATATTATTGTTGTTGAGCAATGTCAAGTCTGTTCCAAACCTGTATAGGGTTTCCAAGGAGCAGCTGGTAGGTTTGAACTGCCAACCTTGTGATTTGAAGTCCAATGTTTATCTTATAGCACCATACCAGGAGTCCAACAATACATATAAGCACTGGGCTGCTAATCAAAAATTATAGCATCCCTATTAGTTAGAACTGACTCAACACCACTTTACAACACACACACACACACACACACACACACACACGTATAGATCTGTTTCTGCTGAATCTGTTTCTCTAGAGAACTGTGACTAAGACGTTAAAGTAAATGATACTATGATAGTCTCAAAAAATTCCAGCAGCCCTCTTTCTTCAGGTCATCCAAGGATAGAAGACATTTGTCTCAGTACCCACGTGTCCAGATTTCTGTCCTTACATTTAGACCAAGGAATTAGGAGCTCTGATTTGGTCAATCTAGAACAAAAGACATTTTTCAGGAAACAAGTTTGTTTTTGGCTTAGTTAGTATAGAGCATGTTGAGTTGATTCAAGACAGTGACTTAACCAAGGTTTGCACTATGTTCCTTGAATCAGTATTTTCTGTTTGCTTCTCTCTCAAGATTTTAATTGTTTTATTTGTACCTGCATTTTGTTGTTTCCTCAGTATCCTACTATAAACCATTCGATAATAGATATTTGAAACATTTCTGGTACTGGTGGTGGGGGTGGTTGAATGTTGTCATATTGTTTTGGACTCACAGTGACCCTGTATAGGGTTTCCAAGGCTGTATACCTTTACGGGAGCAGAAAGCCATGAGGCTTTCATATTTCTCCTACAGAGTGGATAGAGGATTCGAACTGCTAAGCTTATGTTTAGCAGCCCAACTCATACTTCACTATGCTACCAGAGCTCCTTCATTTCTGATATTAAAGCCTGGAAATTTATATCAATCAATACCCCAGTCTCAAGTCAAACCCACACCCCAATCAAACAGGATTTCTGCTCAGCCGTTAAAGGTTTCAAGGGAAATAACTTGCCTTCAACTTCCCTTCTAATTCGTTCCAATGTCTCTCAATCTTTTTCATTCTTACCTCAAGGGAAATAAAAGAACTGTGAGCACAGTTCAGGCTGGAATGCTTAAGAAGACTGATGAAACTGGCATGACGCACACGCACACAAACACACACGCACACATGTACTTACCGACATAGCCCGGGGTTCCACAAGCTGTGGACATCACATCGCCTTTACCCTCCATTTTTGACAACCCAAAGTCACTGATCATTATTTTTGACTCCTCATCTTGACTGTAGTACAATAGATTTTCAGGCTGGAAATAAAATTAGAAAAATCCATTATTAACTGTGTTTAAAGCTGGATTCATTGTGGGAAACTACAAACTACAACACAGATTTATAACAATATAAGAATACACATGACCTTTCAACCTTTTAAAACACATTCATAAAAACATTACTGCATAAAAGCAATACCCAAGGCCCTGCACAGGAGCTGGCCCAAATAGGTTTTCAATATTTGAGTATTTCCTTTTTGAGTATTTCCTCTATTTAAAAAGTAACAATATTTTGAGGCAATCCAGGAAGTTGATGCCTCTTCACATTTGTAAATTCACTTCTCCGGTCAGGAGAGGTGGGCTTCCCAGGAAATAAAATGACTTTTTCAGGTACTTTTGTTGTTGGGTGCTGTTGAGTTGCTTCAGACTCAACAACCCTACAGAGCAGAGTAAAACTGGGCCATAATGGGTTCTATTTGGTCGTCATCTTTCTGGGAGCAGATCACCAGGCTTTTCTCCTGCAGAGCCAGCCAGTTGGGGATTAGAACCACCAACTTTTCATTTAACGCTCAAGCACTTAACTGTCGCCACCAGGGATCCTTTTTCAGTTGTTGTGGTTTGCTATTTTTTAAATGATTTTATTTTATTAGTAATCCTTGTTATCAACCTTTTTCTACTCCAAGGGTCTCTTCCTGTTCTCAGCAACATCTGGGTATCTTGTAGTTCTAGCAGACGTGCTACAAATTTCCCTTTACTGAGGCCAAAAGACAGCGCTCCTCCTCGTCCCGGGAAGCAGAGGAATGGTGTCACAGGATGAACTAGGGCTGCGAGGTCCAAGACTCTGTAGCCATGTGCCCTTAAGAAGTTTGAACTTTTGGTTGCTTTTCCTGTAGCAACATTTGTTTCCATGCATAGAATATGGCAGTCACAATAAAGCACGTCACATAGTAAAGGTCTTAATACAAGTTTCTGTGCTTCTGTCTTCTTTGGAGTTCTGCTCAGTGGAACCCACATCATGTCTGTTTAGGAGGAGTATAGGAGCAGCAGCCCTGAGGTTGAGGAGAGACTTGGAAGCTTTATTTTCTCAGCATTTTATGTAAAATTGGGAAATCTGCCATGGTGCCTAGCAAAGAATGAAGTGAGGGCTTATGGAGACTGAGCTCTACAGCAACAAAGCTGGCCCTCATTTTATGTCTCCTGTACTGTCCAGATGAACACAGAAGAGGTGCCTACAAGTTTTTTCGAAGAGTTGGTTCAAATGATAACGCTGTCACCAAGGGAGAAGAAATTAACCACTGACATGTGGCTAGAAACATCCACCCATCATGATCATTCTGACTATTTACTGAGTAATTATGTCTTTCATTTACACAAATCTTAAAGGAAGATCATTTTCTTACACCTGTTCCCTGTCTGGCTCTCCTCCCAATCCCACAAGTGAAATGGTACTCTCTTTCGTCAGTGTTTCGTGGTGACATTTCAGCTCTTTAGTACTAAATTTTAATAACTATTCTTGTGTGAAGTGACCAGAATAGTTTAGAAAAGTGGTTCTTGGCCTTGTGATGAAGCAAAATTGCCCTCCAGGGAATTTCATAGCTGGGGATAATGTCCTTTGGTCAATGTGAGATTGGGCCTAGTAGTCTATATTTTAGAACTCCACAGGGAACTGTGATGTGGAAATTCTGTGAAGCTATTTTGAGGACTCAAAGGAAAAAAATACTATACTTCTGTCAAAACAAAACAAAGAAACAACAACATTGCATATAAAGGAATGACACTTGATGTCAGAGCGATAATAATTCTAAAGACAAAGCATGAAGGTCAAAGGATACCCACGGTACATTTAAGGGATCTTGCCACTGAAATATGAGCTGCTGGGTGGTACAAAGGAGTAACTCACTTGGCTGTTACAGGAAAGGTTGGAGGTTCACTTTTACCCAGGGGCACCTTAGGAGAGATCTACTTCCAAACCATCCACCGCTGAAACCACTACAGAGCACAGCTGTACTGTGACACACATGGGCCCACTATGGCTCTCAGTCACCTTGACGGCAACTGGTTTATTCAATGAGTTTTAAAAGAAAAAACCAAGACAATCAATAATTGATAATGGAATAATAGTGCTAAAATGGAGGGAAAACCATCTAATCCCAAGTGCATGTGCTTCATGGTTTCTCTGAATGCTTGGGAGTCATACTCTGATGAACAGCAAAGTTCCCATGATGGCAGTGGAGAAGATTTTTAAATAAGTTTCTGGTTTTTATTTTCTAGTAATGAGTTAAATTGATTTTAAAAACATTAAAAATATATTTCATACTTATTTTTCCTATCTTCATTCTCCCAACACCTCTCCAGTAAAGTTCGAGCAATAAAGGGTAGAAAATAAGAGCACAACAGAGCAGAAGCTACCTAGACTTCTGAGATTAGCTGGAGATTATTAGCTCATTATCCTCACATCTAGACAAGGGATTGTTAAAGGACCATGAATGCCTCCAATGGGAGATTTATTTGGATCAATAAACCACTCTTTGGAAGAACAAGTATCCCCAAACCAAACCAAACTCACTGTGGCTGAGTCAATTCTAACTTATAGAAGGTTAAATCCAAAATTTAGTTCAATACTTTTCATTGGTTCAAGATTTAGTAAAGACAATAGGGCTTTTCTTGGGCGTGAGAAGGATAAGAGGTAGGAAAGAAAGGGGAGAGAAGACAGGCTCAGGGATCATCTGGATGGGAGCTCTCCAGGTGACAGCATGAAGCTGTGGGTGGGGTAGCAGGGAGGAAGCCCGCCCACACCTTGGCAATTCAGCCTGGTATCCTGTGAGGCCTGGAAATAAAAATTTTTTTTTTCCTGATTATGGAATCTTTGCAAGGTAATTCATGGTCAATATCTGAGTAGGAAAGTCAAATCGTAGTTTTTAGCAGTTCACATAAAAGAGTCAAAAAAGGTCTCAATAAACAGCTTGGGTAATATTAAATATTAAACTCCTGATCCCTCAGTTCACAATTGGGGGCAATTTTGCTTCTAAGAGGACACTTAGCAATGTCTGGAGCTATTTTTGAATGTTAAAACCCTGGGGTTGCTACTGGCATCTAGTGGATAGAGTCAAGGGATGCTGTTATACAGCGTACAATGTACATGACAGCCCCTCACAACTAAGAAAGATCTGGTCCAAAATGTCAACAGATGAGACTCTGTCGTAATCCATGGAGGCAGTAGTGGGCACTTCCTGTCTTCATCCCTTGAAAACAACAATTGGGTTGTCTCTAGTGGCTTCTTTGGCCAAGAAAACAGAAGAAATACCTTTTTGGAGGGAAACAGAGACAATTATACAAAGGGGCTTCAAAAATTTTAAGGAAAAATCCATTATCTTTTCATTCCACTTTTCCATAAACTTTTTGAATCCCCTCTATGTCAGTGTAGTACTCCAGATTATGCACTCAAATTAACATGACTATGTTTTACTTTGCTCTAGTCTAAAGGTTATTGTTGTTATTGAGTGCTGTTGAGTCAGTTCCAACTCATAGCGACCCTGTAGCGGGTTTCTGGGGAGCAGTTGGTAGGTTTGAACTGCCGACCTTGTAATAAGCAGTGCAGAGCTTATCATACAGCGTCACACCAGGACTCCAAAATATACTGATTGTTCTTTCTTAAATATGCATGGAAATTCAATATTCCAAACCAAATTTCTATCTCATAGATCAAACTCCTTTGTGCCTGTGAGAAGAGATCACAAAAAGATCCTATAAACAATGGAAACACTCTTTCCACAGAGACCTAAATCTGAGGATCCTAACACTCTCAGGCTAGGAGTTGCAAGTACTTCCCCTAAGACTGATGTTGGAGTAAAAAATAATATCTCCCATATAGTCAATCTGCCTTTCTAAAGAGAAATAAACACCTCCTCTCTAGGAAATGGCATATCTTCTTAGAAATTATTTCTAATAAGAACAAACCATCAGCTTGCTCACACTACATCTCCTTGGTCACCACACTAACTTGTTCAGAAAAAGCTCCCTGCTGTGTTCTGAAAGCACAGTGCTGGCGTTTGGCAGGAGCACAACAGAGCAGAGAAGGTACCTAGGCCTCGGAGAGCCTAAAAGTGCCTGGAGATTAGCTCATCATTCTCACATCTAGCCAGATCCCTGCAAAGGGCAAAGGCTGTAAGGGCTCTCCTAACATTCCCAAATACCCTAAGTCCAGTGGTTTCAGGAGATAGCTCCCAAACAGGTTCAGCATCACCTAAGAACCTGTAAGGAATGCAAATCCTCAGGACCCACTGTAGAGCTACAGAATCAGAACTTCTTGGCAGGGAGGTGAAGGGGAGCCAACAATCTGTGCTTTGACAGGCATTCCAGATGATTCAGACACACATTTAACATGCAGGAATTGCTGCCTATGTCAGTGAGGAGCTCTGCTTAAAGTGCTCGGCTACTAACCAAAAGATGGGTGGCTCAAACTCACCAGCTGTTTGCTCCTCACAAGAAAAATGTGGCAGTCTGCTTCCAGAAACATCTGCAGCTTTGGAAACCATATGGGGCAATTCTATTCTGCGAGTATTGCTGTGAGTGGGAATTGACTCGACGGTTATGGGATTAGTTTGGTTTGTCTCTCTTATCAATGGAAAATTATAACACAGATACACCAAAAGAGAAGAGAAATTTTTCATGAGTCTTTATGAAAAGGGTTCATCATTTTATACTGTAAAACCCAGTACCAGATCATGAACCACTAAACCAGGTGCCTTTAAGTTGTTTCCAACTGATGAGGACCCCAAGTGTGTCAGAGTAGGACTGTGCTCCATACGGTTTTAATAGCCAATGGCTAGCCTGATAGATCCCCATCTTCTTTCAAGCTACAGCAAGCCCAGAAGGCCGAGAACTAAAAGTACATAAATCCCCCACCCCGACTCATTCACCCATCTCTACATCCAAGTGGCCTCATCCTTCCAATGGAGCCAATTCTCTCTGACAGCTGCATTGTGGGTTAGAGAGTGGTTGGAAGGAGGTTGCTAGGTGATGGCCTCACCTTAAGGTCCCTGTGGACGATGCCCATCCTGTGGAGATAGTATACAGCATCCAAGACCTGGCGGATCAGAGTACTGGCATCTTTCTCCGTGTAAAATCCCTTCTCCACTATCCGATCAAACAGCTCTCCACCAGATACACTATGAAAGAATTTTAAAAAGAACAAATTAAAAGTTGAAAAGAACTTGTTAAACATTGCATGGAAAACAGTAAGAACTTTCAATGTAATAATAGACTCAAACATTATTTTTAAAGTTAATCCACTTTCAGATTTAGATTTGACCCCATTTATATGTGGCGCTGTGAGTTAATGCACCAGACTGTAAAGTCATTTGAACTGCAAGGTTGGTGGTTCAAGCTCACCAGCTGCTCCTTGGAAACCCTACACAGGGTCACTATGGATCAGAATCGACTTGATGGCACTTTAACAACATCATTTTCCAAAAGCTTAAAGGATCCCTGGTGGCACAGTGGCTAAAGCACCAGGCTGATAACCAAAAGGTTGGTGGTTTGAAACCACAGAAAGATGTGGCAGTCTGCTTCTGTAAAAGTTATTGTGAAGGGTTGTTGAGTCTGTTGCAACTCATAGCAACAGATTTTAAGGAGCAGCTGGTGGATTTGAACCACCGACCTTGTGGTTTGCAGTCCAGTACTAATCCTACAGCACTACACCAGGAATCCCCAAAAGCTATATCCATAAAGATTTCAGCCTTGGAAACCCTGTGGGGCAGTTCAACTTTGTTCTACAGGGTGGCTATAAGTCAGAACTGCCTCGACAGTAGTGTTTGTTTTTTTAATTCCTCAAAAGCTCTATCAGGAAAGTGTTTCTACAACATGAGGGTACAAACATCCATGAAAAAATTCAGGGGAATAAAAACAAACCAGGACCCATGGTGTAGTCAAGTCAGAGAAGTCTCTCCTGACCTTAGCCTTTATAACTACTTGTCAATGAAAAATCACTTTGCATGAAAGCACATCTCAAAGGCCTGTGGATGTTTGCACAAAGCGCTAGCCTGGCCAACTGGAGTCTGCGATCTTTGCTAAGATGTGTTCTTAATTTGCTAAGAGCAATGAATGAGCTCCTTGACTCTCCTTCCAAAACCAAACACACTCCCATTGAGTTGATCCCGACTCATCGCAACTATATAGGAGAGAGTAGAACTGCCCAGTAGGGTTGTTCTTTACTGTGGTAGACTGCCTCATCTCTCCCCGGTGGAGTGGCTGGTGAGTAATTCACCTTGTTGTTGTTGTTGTTAAGTGCCATCGAGTCAATTCCAACCCATAGTGACCCTGGATAGGGTTTCAGAGGAGCAGCTGCTGAGCTTGAACCACCAACCTTGCACTTCAAACGGCTTTGCAGTTTGGCGCATTGACCTTGGTCTCTTATAAATGTGGGGGTCAACCATTTTCAATGGAGAGCGTGACATGTCCTTGGAGGTATCAAAACCTGGAAGTCACTTGTGATTTACAATAGAAGAAAAACCTCTTTTTGGGGGGATGGTATTTAGTTTTAATTTGCTTTGCATTGAAGATTATATTGAAAGAGAATTTCTGATTACATCCTTATTTTTATTGCTATTGTATTTATGGAAAGGGGCCTAGGCTGATAATAGTCAAGAACTTCTGGTGGACAACCACGATAGTCCCTGTTTCACTTGGACATTTTATGCTGCTCTGAGTTTCACAAAGTAACATAACTGTACAATCCCAAATAGAAACAACTCAGCTAGCAGCTTAACCTTCAACCTCCAGAAGCATGTCCATCTCTAAGAAAAATACCATTTCTTTCTAACACATAACCCATCTTAGACAGAAACTTCAAAGGGATGTATTGTTGTTTTTGTTGTTGTTAAGTGCCATGGAGTCGGTTCCAACCCATAGTAACCCTGTACAGGGTTTCCGGGGCTGTAAATCTTTACGAGAGCAGAAATCCTCATCTTTCTCCCACAGAACAGCTGGTAGTTTCAAACTGCTGACCCTGAGGTTCGCAGCCTGATTCGTAACCACTACACTAACAGAGCTCCTTAAGGGATGTATTAGCACTATTTAAATCAACAACAACAACAAAAATCAATACATTTCTAAAAACAAAACGAAGAAGGGATTAATCTGAAGTATTAAAATCATAAGACAGCTACAAAATAACTTTATAGCTTTAATAGATATAGTAAAAGATATTTCCTACAGTAGCACACACATACACACACACACACACACCAAGATATGATTCATCTCCGGCAAGTCATGGCAATTAATGTGCAGTAACAAATCCACTGAAACCTTCTTTTTCAAAAAACTAATAAAGGAGAAACAATTGCAGCCTGTGTGTTAGATCTTCCTCTCATTACCTTTAGTCATCCGAGCAATATTGTGCTTGGAGAATGGCATCATCTGGTTTCCAAAGCAAACTGAGCAATCTTGGTTAAGAATTGAAAGATGCTCAGGAGAAATGAAAAGTTATTTAATGAGTGAAAAGAAATGGAAACAACAGGGGAGAAACTACATTTTGATGGCCATGTTGTCGAAATGACTCATCCATAGGTGAGCTCACATCTCAAGACACCACCTCTTAGTAACTGATGTCAAGTTCTCTCCATTCCTCAATTATCTAGAACCTTCCACAAAAAGTTTCAATATTTAAAACTGTGCACACCTTAAGGAGAGACTGCATGAGACCTACTGCAGCTAGGGGCAGGGTAAACCCAGATGCCATGGAGACATTCACTTACTAATGTATCCAACTAGCTAATCAACATTTACTGACAGCACCGCTATGAGCCATCTACCTGGCACACTGGGGAGTGTGGTGGTTCTTTAGGATAAGTATGGACTGTGAACCACAAGGTTGGTGGTTCGAATCCACCAGATACTCTGAGGGAGAAAGATGAGGCTTTCCGCTCCTGCAAAGATTTAAAAGCCCCTATACAGGGTTTAACGAGCTCTGGTAGCGTAGTGGTTACGAATCAGGCTGTGAACCTTACGGTCAGCAGTTCGAAACTACCAGCTGTTCTGTGAGAGAAAGATGAGGCTTTCTGCTCCCGTAAAGATTTACAGCCTCGGAAATCCTGTACAGGGTCGGAACCAACTCCACGGCACATAACAACAACAACAATAACAACATACAGGGTTTCTGTGAGTTGGAACGGACTCAAGGGCACTCAACAACAACCTTGCACATTGGATGGCATTAAAAGCAGATTATCTGTGAAGGAGGAAAAGACCGTTTTGACCATCTCTCTCCATATATTCTACAACTGAACCCCATCTGTCACTAACAGTACCCATTACTAATGTTCTAGGAATCCTGGTGTGGTGCTGCAGGATAATGCATGGGGCAGCAAGATCAATTTGTATCTCAAAGTCGGCGGTTCAAACCAACCAACTGCTCCTTGGAACCTATACAATGTTGTTATGAATTGGAACCGACTTGATGGCACTTAACAACAACAATTAGCTGCAACATTGGTGGCTAGAACCCACTTAGATGTACCTTAGAAGAGAGGCCTGGGGACCAGCTCCCAAAAGGCCACAACCCTGAAATTCTACTCTGCACATATGTGGAAGTTATGAGTCAGAATCAACACAGCAATATCTACAAACTGTGAGAGAAAAAAAAATATCTTTGCTAAATGTCACTGTCAGCTCTACTGTACCTATGGCCAGTTCAATGGAGCAATTCTACCCTGTAACACATGGGCCACATACATTTTCTAGTGCTTTCTAATGACTGACTGCCTGTTACCTTATTCCTCTGCTCTGCAAGCTGCTGAAGGACCTCTGGAAGGAACCCTCACCCTTCCATCACCCTTACCTCCAGCCCTTAGCACTCCATGACCCAAATCTTGCCCAATCTCCTCTCAAAAATGATCTTCCCTGCTTTCTAGTCTCTCAAGATATATAAGGTACTGACGAATTCAACTGAATGAAAATATCTGCATTGCAATCGGGCAGCGGTGCAGTGAAAATCGAATCATCACTATTGAAGTAGGAAACTCTGCCACAGTAGAAGGTACTGTCTCCGAAGCTCAATGCCCTGTTCATTTAAAACTGTGCTCTCAAATTTCAAATTTTACTAGGGCCTTATTGCTTTGTTGATTTTTAAAAAACAATCCACAGAAAGAATTTCGTTTCCTTAGAAACTGAGGCACATGGAGAGTTAAAAATCTTGCTAACATAAAATATAGCAATGGTGTGGTGCTGTGGGTTAATGTGCTGGACTTCAAGGTTGGTTTGAACCACAGGGTCAGTGGTTCTTTGTAGCCCATATACAGAGTCGTTAGTGCCGTGACCAACTTGAAGGCACTTAACAACCACTACCACAACAACAAAGGAGCTCTGGTAGTGTAGTGGTTACAAATCGGGCTGCTAACCGCAAGGTCGGCAGTTCGAAACTACTAGCAGTACCACGG